GAAATCCTTTTTGTCTGTGTTCTTGTGTCTAGCATAAATAAGGAAAGAGTCGTTTGGTTATTCCAACGGACATAATCTTTGAATTCTTCTTCAACAATTTTCAGCAAGAATCATCAGAGTCTAGATTGATCAGAGCCTTCTGATGTTCATCAGAGTTTGCTGAATCAGAGTCTTTGCATCAAGTGTGCTTTCAGCGTGTATATGTTCAGAGTAGAGTTTTGGTTCAGATCCTCAGTACTGGCAGCGTTAGTACTATCAGAGTCTTTTGAAGTAACTGTGCTTGAAAACTCTTCATACAAAATACTTCATTGCTTCAGATGCTTATGACTTCTGCTTTAGATTCTTCTGTAGCTTCTGCTTCAGATTCTTCTGTAGCTTCTGCTTTAGATTCTTCTGTAGCTTCTGCTTCAGATTCTTCTGGAGGCAGCACTCAGAATCTTCTGAGAGATGCTTCTGACGCTTCAGAGCCTTGCATATTTCTTATGTTCAAATCTAATTTGCTTCTGGAGTGATATTTACTTTAACATCTGCAGCAAAGATTCTCAAGCAAATTTTAGAGTATATAATTCTTAAATACAAAGTTTCATAATAGTTATCATCAAAACATAGAGATATTATTAAGAACCAATCTGTGTTCTAACAATCTCTCCCTTTTTGATGATGACAAAAACATCAGAAATTTTGTTCAATAGTAAAGAAAATAATTATAACTCCCCTTGAGATGATGAATCTACCCCTGAATTGAATACTAAGAAAGAATAGAAACTTCCCTTCTTGCATGAGTATTCTTTTCAGAATCAGAGCCTGAATGTTATAAACATTCAATCTTGCTTGTTTCAGAGTCTGAGTCTGATAAGTTAAATATGATCTGGGAGTCTCAGAATTTATTTTAAAGAATGTGTCAGATTTATCAAATGTTCTGAAACACTAAGAGTTTACGTTAGTTAGAATTGATATGTCTGAAGTTTCATTTAGATAGAGTTTATTTGACTAGTCAGATCCATTTTCTCCCCCTTTTTTGTCATAATCAAAAAGTAAAAAAAACTTTTAAAGGACAAATAAAAGGAAATACAGAAAAGATAAATCATGTAGAGAAAAACACTTAGTCATTCATTCATATAGATCAAAAGATACAAAACATCAGATAAGATTCAAATACATGTGCAAACATCAGATTTTAAAAAAAAATAAACGAAGTTTGTTTGGCCAAAATTATCTTCAACAGATCAGTGATCTCAGAGGAGGATTGTTCTTGTTTTGACATCCACTTAGCCATGGTTTCATTCTTCTGATCTTGTTTGGACATCCATTGAGCCATGTCTTCAGACTTCTGATCTTGCTTAACCATCAATGACTTAATCTCAGATTGACCAGCTTCCAGAACTGCAATCTTATCTTCAAGATCTGGATTTTCTTTCTTGACCTCAGATGAAGAAGGTTGAGCAGAGCCTGAAGCAGAAACAGAGTCAATTTCCATAAGAGATTCAGAGTTAGGAGCAACAGATCCAGAGGGATGTTTCATAAGAGTCATAGCCAGAGGGTTGTCTTCAGATGCAGATTCAGCATTCACTTTTGTATCACATACTTCAGAGGATGAAGGAGCATCTTTAAGAAGCAATGGTGCAGATCTTTTAACAGTCCAGAACAAACTTCTAGCAGTTTCAGCAAATCTGAGCTTCGCATCATCAGAACATACATTCTTCAGATTTGATGCTACAGTATTGAATCTGTTGATGAAGCTATTCCAAATTGCATCAGATTCATTTGCATCCATTGTTGATAAGCACTTCCTCTGTACAGAGCCTAAATGCATCTCTATTTCTTTCATAAAACTTGTAAATAAATGATCAATATTCAGCCTAGGTTTTGGTTTTAGAAGGGTTTCCAATGTGAGTGGCTTGGGTTGAGGTGAAAGTGGAATGGTGAATTTTGGAATGATGATCAGAGGACGAGGGTAGAAGGGTATGGATGGAGAATTAGATGAAATGATAGTTTTTGATCTGATTAAGGCATTCAACAAAGATGGTTTTGCATTTGATGCATAGGAAACAACATCAAATGTGGTAGAAGTGTAAGGAATTAACGCAGATTTATCAGATAAAAGAGATTCTGATGAAATCATTTTTGGCATTTCTTTTATATATGTTTGGAGAACAGATGGTAGAATAATGGAAAGCTTGGGTTTAAGAGGGGTGATAGTGTCAGATGGTTCAATTCTGTCATAGAAACTTTTAAACTCAAAAACATAAGAAAGTGGATCAGAGGGGAGTGGTTTAAAAGAAGCAAAGGATACAAATTTAGATCTCCTTGGCTTAGGTTTTGGAATGGCTATTGGAATGAGAGAGTTTGATGAAACAGGTGGTTCTGGTTGGTTAACTACAAAAGTTCTGAGAGAGGGAGGTGAAAGAATATCTGGGTGTATATCAGATTCTGATGAGTTTGAGGATGTGGTTGGAATACAAGACGTAGAGGACACTTCAAAAATAGTTTTGAGAGGTGTAACGTTTAGAACCTCTGTCTCAGGTATTTTGTTTCAGGAGGGTTGGTTGGTTCTGATTGATTCTCAGAGGGTTTTGATGAAGGTTCTGATGCAGGTGGTTCAGATATAGGTGGTTCAGAAATAACTTGTTCATATGCAATAGGATCAGATGCAACTGGAACATATTGTATAGGTTCAGATGTGTTTGATTGTTGTTTTTCTGGTTGTTGTTGTAGTGCAGATTGTTCTGTTGGTTTTGTTATATGTGTTGGAATTTTGTTTGCTGGTGTTGTTGTTGTTGTTGTTGTTTCAGATGGTGGAGTAACAGAAGTTTTTAGTGGAGTAGTGGAAATAGGATCAGATGATTTTTATGGGGAAGGAATTTTTGATGGTTCAGATTTTTGGGGTGGAGCAGGAATAGATTGTTTTTGAGTTGGAGGGGGTTTTGGAATAGAACTAAATGTTGATTCATTTAAAACAATGTTAGAGAAAGAAGATACAGATGTTTTAGTACCTTTAATTTTGATACGCTTTGTGGGAACAGAAGGAACGTCACCAGAGGCTTTTCTCTTGATCAGCTTCTGTGGCTTGTCAGCAACTTTTGGCTTCTTCTGAGCAGCAGTTTCTTCTCCTTCTGATTGACCTCTTTTCCTTATGTTCTCATTGTATACATCTGGCATTGGTTCTCTTGCTCTTTTCAGAATGTCTGCAGGAATGGGAGTCTCATCTGCTTTGCATGAATCAATATATCTCACAATTATATCCCTTGGTTCTTCAGCACCAAACAGTGGAAAGTTTTCAACTGGAATTCGCTTCTGACTGATTTCAGAAATATTCAGCTTCTTGGGTGCAGATGTGATTTCCTCTACAATTTTTAGTCTCTGAAGACTCTTTGCATTCAGAGGTTTTCCAACAATGGATTCAAGTTCATCCTTGACTCCAGCTTCATACAGAGCAGTCACCAGTCCATTCTCTGTCAGAATGTCTGAAATTAACCTTCCAAAGGGGATCCATGTTCTGATCTTCTGACCCTTATCTTTTACAGATTCTCTTGAAGCATTGATATGGTTCCATAAATGCATAAACATAATGTAAGGAAGATCTACCTTAGTGCTCTGACTTAAACAGTACATGAAGTAGAGATGTTCATTGTTCACATAATCTGGAGAATTGGTAGATTTTCTGTGATGAATGCATCCCAGAACAATCTTTGCCCAAATTTTATAGTCAGACTTCAGATCTTTAAATTTGTTAGAGGCCTGTCCAGAAGTGATGACTTCCTCATAAACTTCCTCCATGTCTACACGCCCAGCTGGCAGATGACATACTCCATCAGTCTCCTCATACCCTATGAGTTTCCTGATCAGATCTTCAGTAATTATAATCTCCTTACCTAGAACAAAAGACAAGATGAATTTTGGATAAACAGATACATGTATCCATAATTCTTTTACCAGATGAGGGTAAACTGGTCTAAATAATCTGTCAAAGTATTTGACCCAGCCTTGAGCATCAATTATTGAACAAAATTCAAACCCATTTTCAGCTAATGAATCAAATTCCACCATTGATTCACAGAGAACTTCAAGTTTGTCAACAGGAGT